AGGCTGGAAAATCATAGCAATCCAAGTATCCAATGGTTCAAACTTGATAAAGGACGATTTTGTAAAACTGAACATATTAGGAAGAAGATGGTGATTGGAATAGAACAAGTGTCACTGACGCCTTTCACCTTTTTAATTAGTGCAAACAGATAATACAAACAGATAATTCAACTAACTAAACTTTGTATGACTTTTGTTATGACATGTATACTGGAACAATTTTAAAATTACAAGTTTACTATTGCACTAAGTACTCAATTAAAATTGACGTACCAATTTGACCTTTAAACATATAGTTAGATGCCCAAATTAAACAACTTGGTTGTGGAACGAAATCTGGTAGTTTCTATTCTATATCGTTTAAAAGCCGAAGTACGCTTTGTAAGCTGCAGTTCGAAACTTCTACCAAAATATGATTTCAACTCAAATGTGAACAATAAGGGTGAATAAGTCAATATTTAGACTAGACTAGACTTAAATAGTTTTAAATTACTCATAAACCAATACATCTACTAGACTGGTTCAATCCAAACCTTATTATCAGAACAATCTTAAACATCCGAAGTAGATAATGATGAGTAAATTAGATGTATAATTTGTTGTTTTAAACACGACACTTAGAACCGGTTTTGTAACACATAGCTAAATTGGTGAAATTTTGACTTACATAGCTAAATTGCTTAACTGTGCTCTATTACCAAAAATGTATATCTGAATATACTTCATTAATCACATAGAGAAAAATATAAAAGATATCTAGAATAGTCCTTTACTCCTTTTCACCAAATTCTGTCAATTTACGTAGAAAATTAAACCAACATCAACTTTATTTTAATTATTACATAGATGATAACCCGAAAACTGGCCGGGGTTACCAAAAGGCTCTGGTGACCTCATTATAATTTTTTATGTAAAAGGGTAAGTATTTTATATTTAATTAATCTGTCAAGAATCACAATATCCATAAGTTTCAAACATCCAAATATGAAAACAATCAAATATCTGAATTGTGTATAACAATATACAAAAGAATGGGATGGGATCCGCAAAAAATCATGCACAGTGAAGGAAGATATAAATACAAATAGGTATGTTAAGTGATGGACATGTGACTGTGAAAAAATTTAAAGTATCTTGTTAACATCCTAAATCTTGTTAACATCCTAAAAATCCGCTTCCATGATATCTTTGTCGGTTAGTTTTATACTAGTAGTAAATATAATCGAAGCTCAATTATGCTCTTTAAGCCAAGTTGCAATCCTTACATCAAAGCAAGAAGATATGATTAATCATACTGTTACGTTGCAATCCTTATAGTTGAGATTTGTATGGAAAAGAAAATAAGTAATTACAAATTACGGAGCATTATTTTAATATAGGAAATGGCACAGTTTTATGGCATTCAAAAACCTATTGAAATAGGTGAATCAGATATTTGCCCGTTGCTTAAGACCTGTCAATGCGAAGAGTTTAGATTGATATTCCATAGAGAATTCATGTACTTAGCGAGTGTTTGTCATTGCGATTGCTTCTACTTCAAAAAGTTATTTTTTAAGATAATTTTGGGGAAAGTACTTAATAGTAAAAGTTGATAGTGTTTGAAGAAAAAACGATTTTGAAAAAGTAAAAGTTGATAGTGTATGATAAAATAAGTGTTTTTTGTATAATAAGAAAAGCGAAAAGTAGTTAAAAACATTCTTCCACCTGCTTCTAGCTTTTATCTTTCAAGTGCTTAATTTAAGTAGAAACTGTCATTTAAAATACTCTTTTAAGTTTTTTTAAGCCAAAAGCTCAAAATCACTTTTTTTAATTAATGTTAAGCAAACACCGTTTATCACTATATGAGACATTGGGAATGATATAGGTTTTACTTTGTTAACCATTAAAACTGGAATGGGATCTATTTTGAACAAAAAGGTTTGTGTTACTATTTCGGACCAGCTAGACCCGGACCAAGTAGAATAAAGTACTCCCTCCGTCCCAGAATTAACTTCGGTTTTGACTGGGCACGGAGATTAAGAAAGTGGGAAATGTGTGGTTGAGAGTTGTGCAGAGGAGAGAGAAATGTGTAAGAATGGTTGTGAACCACAAATCCTTTGCTAAAAAGGGAAAGGGGAGATAAATTTGGGACGGACCAAAAAGTAAAGAATGAAGATAATTATGGGACGGAGGGAGTAATAAATGTTTTAATCAAGTAAAAAACTTATATTATAAAATTTGATGGAAAAAACAAAGAATCAAAGGGAAAATTCTCAAAATATGAGTAAAAAAGTTTGAAAATTTCATAATAGAACTGTCAAGTTTATATTTTCAAAATAAGAGTAATTGCTATCAAATTTGAAAAACACTATCATATTTAAAGTCTAATACTGTCAAAACATGACATTAATTAGTCTTATTTTAGGAATAAAAATGGAACACTTTTAGTTGTATTTAGAGTAATTTACCTTCAAAGTATGTAATTACCAAACTGCATGACAACCACGATTTGATCGCTATCCTTAAGAATGGACATTGAGACTATTAATTTGACCGACATGATTATGTAAATAGTCTCTATTAAAACTATTAAAACTATTAAATAGTCTCTAAACTATTAAAACTAACCTGACGGGAAACCTAATAAGAAATAAACAAAGCACACATTCAGTGCCTAAAAGAAAACAACCAACAATTAGAATAAAATAACTATATCACAACTCAAAAACCCTAAATTACAAGGTGGAATTGGCGTAAATGTGAGTAGAATATTGATGCATTCCTAATATATGACTAAACTTATACATGAATCTATATGAGTAATAAGTGAACCCAAAAACGAAAAAGTAGGATCAAAACATGCACATACTCCCATCCGCCCCTATAGAAAAGGCACATTGAATTACACATCTTATCCTAAGAAGGAACACCGTTTGCACTGTTTAGACACTTGGACACTGTTTGACACTATTTTGCATTGTTTTGTTTGACAAAAAAGAAAATGTGACTTTTATATAGGGACGACGAAAAAGGAAAGTGTGTCTTTTATATAGGGACATAGGGAGTATCATACATATAAAACACTATTACATTGTGAATATAACGTTATCTGATTTGGTCATATTTTAGGAACAACTGTATGGTTGAGCGGAGAGTTCGAGACTTTGAGTCTTTCAATTCAAAACTATGTTAGTGAGAAACTGAGAATGTAATGTACTTAATTATACCTTTGTGTCAATGTGGATGAAATATGAATTCGAATTAACATGTAAAATGAAATATGAATTTGAACGAAACCGGGAAATCAAATGGATCCTAGACAATTTCCGTGTACGAACTTGACCATAATTACGTATAGATCGATCAAGAAATGGTTACCGTAGAAATTATACATAAGTATATACAGTATATTTTGCCAGTTTTATACACATCACTTGCTAGATCAGAACATGTAAAATGTGTTACACAAGGTCGGATCAATGCAAAGCTAATTAAGCCCACGCCTAGGCCCCTTGACCCCTTCTTAGTCAATCTTACTATTAATGTAACTTATCAGCATTCTCACTTTGCTATACGTATAGTAGGCCATTTTCAGTTTTCATTCTATAAGATTGTGTAATTTTTAAAACCTAAATGTGAAACTAAGTATAGATTAAACCTATACATTATGACCGAGTCAATTGGTGCACATGTGGAAAGTATGGATGTGGGGCACGTATATGCGGGCAAAACGAGGGATATGTTTGAGATGCACTGATTATTAGAGAATAACTTGATTGTTAGAGAAAATTCTTTATATGATGTATTATAACTTGACTAAAACATAAACAAAGTGCAGATATAGAACTATCATTATATTGTTTGTTGCTAAAATAAGACTTATTCACTCTTAATAGGAGGGGTTTTATACTTTTAATAAGATCAAATAAGTCATATTTTGGGAATAAAGTACATGAAGTCCTATTTGTGCAATTTATCTAAGTTGTAGTCCTATTTAAAACAACTTTTATTGATCGATTATTATATCTGCCCGTTGAGCATCGTCAATTTTATGTTGAATATGAAATAAGAAAAACATAAACTTTTGAAGTATTTGGATGGTAATTAAGATTTGTACGTAAGAAAGAAAAATATGTTGAAATGCAAAGTCTTTTGGACGGAAGGAGAGTATTATGTATACACGTTATTCAATCAGTTTATTACATATCCACCAAAGTCATAAATATATTTGGTGAATTGATGTATATTAACTTAATTGTATATGCCCCATAATTTAACGTGAGCCAATTCCTTTGAAATGCAAATATTAAAATTGTTCATCAGAATCAAATAAGTTTGAAAGATTTATAAATACAAAATATCTCTTCAATATCTAAGAATTTAAGAAATTACATCGTATATAACATCACGGATGCACAAAAGTTCTCATTACATTACATTAAATATAAGGAACTCCTAACTGTACGTACTACTAAATGTCCAAATCTATCGTCTCTTCTCATTACTCTATCATTTGTTCTATACACTTCTAGACTTCTAGTTTGGTCGGCTGTAGCTGACATATAGGCCGTACAATACATGTAATAATTATGTAAACATAAAAAAACTTTAACCAAGTTAAATTATGTAATTGTGTAATTATGTAAACAAAGGAGGAGAAACATATATGGAATACGGTGTTAATAACGACGGTAAACTTTAATCAAATTAAATCAATAACATAATTAACCTATTGTAACAACAATCCTAGCTATGAATCTTCTTTTGTATAGTAGTGTACCTTGCATGTCATTTTCATTAAGTCCGTCACACCACTACTTAGCGCATTAACCTTCATTTCCTCCTTATACCTCCCTTTTTGAGTGCAATAACTCAAGGGCATCGAATAAGAACAAAAAGTCTAAAAAGAAAAATCAAACAAAATACCTATGCAATAATCAACCTTAGGCAGTGCAAAACTTTCCTACATAAATTCTTCATATCAACCACTTAAGTGACTTTAATTTATTAGATCAAAAGACTAATTCTACTCTTTCTTTTCCTTCTCCATGTTAAGGTATGATTGTATGAATATGTGTTATGATTATGTAGATCCCATCTCCATTTAGAGGATATCATCAAGCCATCATCATCTATCATCCACATCAATATCTTGCAATAATTGATATAGAAAGACACAATGAGCTTCTTAAGACTCTTTCAAACCCCACAACAAGAAGAGAGTGATGATCATGATCATCTTGAATCCATCCATTGCTTGCCCCTTTTAAGCAAGTTAAGTGAGGCAAAACCCATTGACACCATCAAAGATGAAGAAAGGAATGATGGGTATGTGGGGGTGGCTTTGCATTTAGGGCTGCCGGAATCCGGTAAGCTCGAGGAGGAGGCCACCGCCCGGAAACAACCCTCATTTCTGGAAGAGGACGGGAAGAAGAGAAAGGTGGCTCTGGTTGATGGTGATGGATGCAAATTTGCCAATAGTAGGAGTAGGTTTTGGATCCCTACGCCGTCGCAGATTCTGGTCGGTCCTATGCAGTTCGCTTGTAACATATGCAACAAAGCCTTCAATAGGTATAACAACATGCAGGTAAGATTCATTAATAATAATAGGATCATAGATTCATATATACATAGTACATAATTTGAGAGTGAATTATTCATGAATTAGAATAATTTACAGCAACAAAATATCGTTGAGTCATTTGCTAGAATACATATTATCAATTAAATCCAGTGCCAATCCTACCAAAACTCGGGCCTGAGTCGAACTTAATAAAAGGCCCTATACATTATTTTTTTACTATAATTTTCTTTGAAATTGAAGATTAAACATCATAAAAATGACTAATTAAATAAAAATTACATTAATGTCAAAGTATTCAAATGACTAATAAAGTACAACTCGCCGGAGAGTTTTAGCTGCAAAAGTAATAATTAACTTGACATTCTAGATGTTCAATAAAGTCCTTCTAAATAGATATTTGGTAGGCTATAAATCCTTTTATGGCTTTAAATAGAAAAATATTAGAAATTTAGAAGCTAAGAAAAGAAGATGAAAGATTAACCTTGATGTTGATTGATTAAGTCTATAGATTGGAACAAGGGAATCGCAAATTAACCTTAGCTAAGGCCTTGTTGTCGATCGATTAGTCTAGGCTAGAACAAAAGAATCGCAAATCGCCTTAAAACCCTTTTCCATTTGTACGCTGATGGCTATTCCGCTTCTAAACTGGTCGAACAAAAGTAATTGGGGGACTTTTGGGTTTTCCTTTTTGAAGTACAATAGCGGAGTCAACGGACAAAGGTTAGGATATGTTGGGAAATAGTTTTAATTCAAATAAATGTGGGAAACTAAAGAGTTGCTAGATACACGAAAAGAGTTGCTAGATACACGAAAAGAGTTCCCAGAAAGTTCTATCTTTAATGTTCCAATTAAATGATGTTTCAATGCCTATTATATATAAAGGCATCCTCCTGTAATTCAAAAGCAGAGTTCCTGGGTAGAATATGATTCCCTTCTCATATATCAGCACATAGTGTGTGTGAGTGTGATTTGATATCTCCAGGTTCTTTCTAACCGGTGCTCTAACAGGCAAAAAGGAAGCCCAATATGTAAATTTAATACATATATATACTAAAGAAATATCTAAAATTGTGGGCCCTAAAATTTTAACAATTTTTTGGACCCTGAGGCAAGTGCCTCATCTGCCTCAAGCACCGCACGGCTCTGATTAAATCTTGTCGGGTCTGAACTTGTGCAATCGAGTAGATATACGCTTTATGTGTATTTTACCACGGTTGTCGTTGATCTAGACTGATATGATATGAGACTTAAATCCATCCAACTAAAAACATCCCTAATTTACTAATTTACTGTTAATTTATTCTTATATAATTTTAACAAATAATGATTAAATATCAATATATATTAAATACCATGAAAGATCTTCCAAAAAAATACCATGAAAGACTGATAATTTACTCCTAGGAAGAGGGTGTACTGAAAATAATAATCTATCCAACAGGGCCGGTCCCGACAAAGCAGAGACCCTGTGCAAGAGTAAAAATTGGGCCTTTTATTTAAACAGCTCAAGTAAAAGTTTAATATAGTTTGCAATATATGGAGTTTTAATTATAAATTACTACTACCTCCGTCCCATTTTATGTGTCTTAGTTTGACTCGGCACGGTTATTAATGAAGTGGTTGAAAAAGTAAAATTTGTGGTTGAGATTTGAGATTAATAAAGTGAAATGGTGTAGACTACATATTTCTTTCCAAAAAAGGAAAGAAGACACTTATTTTGGGACAACCCAAAAAGGAAAGTAGGACATGTAAAATGGGACGGTGAGAGTATTACTTTATGTCAAATTACAAAATTATTAACTCGAAAATAGGAGTCAAAATAAAATTATTTGTTAACAAATTATGCTACATTTCAAAGGAGAACTCTTTGAGCATATCATTTAATTTTAAACTTAATTATTTCTAATAATAATAATTTACTCAATATTGTGTAGTGTATTTTCCATATTTGGAATAATTTTATAATAATGATTCGTATTTGGAGCAAACATCGATTTGATAGCAGTGGGCCTTGAATTGATGACCCGGAAGCGTAAGTATTTTTGTCTTCTATTCAATTCCCACACCGGTAAAGGAAAATAATTCTCTAGCACTAATGTTTTATAAATAACGGTCTCCAGCTAAATTCTTTTTTGTGAGATCTCTACGCTCTTAATTGGGCTGCATGTTTCAATGCCTAAGGGTGTGCGAAGGAGTTTATAGTTTTTTTATGCATTTTATAACAATAGTTATAACTATACTAATAAAACTAATTTTTGGGCCTTTGGATTTTTTGGGCCCTGTGCGGTCGCACTCCCTGCACATGCTCTGGGCCGGCCCTGCTATCCAATCCTAATGTGAACTTGAAGTTCCACATTGTTCGCACCCGAGATAGTGTGTGCGCTTATAAGGCCCGAAGTCCTTACTTGTAAACACATTTTAAAGTCGTGAGGTCCCGAAGTATCACAACAAACAATATCCATAAGTTGTTTATAACACGTTATCAGCACGATGCTCACGAGGGGGGAGTGTGTTGTGAACCGCAAGTTCGCACATCGCTCGCACATGTGATAAATCTAAAGTACCAATATATGGACTACGGAGTATAAGACTAAAAATAACATTATTCAACATTTTTGGTCAACTAATGTTAAAGTTAAATCCTGCCTATTGATAACTAATTCAATTATAATATGTAATTAAAGTTTACATATTCACATTCTACATTAAATTCTCTATAAAGTTGCAAAATCTAAGTTGAAATTTAATTAGGAAACGATATTCTAATTAAGTGAATAAAATGAATCATTTTTACTCACACAAGTCAATTTCGCAATTATCATGAAAAGTGCATTTTTATAGTTATTATTGACTTAATAAAGTGAGAATACAGTAAAAATAATTAAAAATCATACAGTTTTATTAAATTAAATATGAAACAAACTAAATAATGATGTGATAGTTTTAATATGACGAAAGAGTAATTTATGATATATGCCCATTGCCCGGTTAAGTGATATCGGATAATAACTACCAAAAATGTATCCCACAGACTCGCAGGCACGCTTTGGGAATAGCGAACCATTGTCGCCAGAGGTGATCTATACCTTCTCCATTGACCTTTGCATCCCCAAATCACCCAAAATCACAAATCTCGATTTTAATTCATTTATTTAGGGTCTAAGTTCTTCAATTTATGTCACCATGGGACCTTATGTGTATAAAAGTTTCAAATATATATGGAGTATCAAATTAATGCATTATTGCGTAATTTGAGGAAAAAACATACTCCATACCGTCAGAGACAAAGCCAGAAAAGTGTGTGAGGGGGGTCGGAGTTTAATTATACACAGTGTCAAAATGATGAATATTTTTTATACAATACTTGAATAAAACGTTTCATAGGTAGCTGAGATAAACAATAGTTTAATGATTCTTTTTCAGTTAATGTATTGATATATATATATATATGTAATGTATCATAATGTTCACACAACTAATGATTGAATAAGGTATTTTATTTTTAAATTTAAGAATATAATCAACGTTACACATCAAATTTTGCACATTTCAAGTTAAGATGGTGCTGATTTTTCCAGAAGTCATAATTTTTTGCTCGTAATGAGTTACGGGACCCATAATATATCAAATCGAAGATATTTCAAAGTTCTACATTCTTGAACTTTCAGCGGGGTCGGCTGACCACCCTGACCCCCCCTTGGCTCCGCCCCTGCATACAGTTAAATATAAAAAACTAATTTAAGATACCTAGCTATAATGTAAATTAAAACTTAAATTTGAATATGATAAATCTATCACCATGAAAAATAAAAAATAAATTAACTTTTAAGAATACTATCACTCGTTCACAATAATAATATGTTCTTTTATAATTCCAACTATTCGAAGGCCCTGCACATGGAAGCTTCTGGCTTATCTGGTCTGACCGAGATGACTAACATTTGTTGCTTGTACTGAGCGACATGTTCCATCGGATCAAAAGTCCCGTCAAACAGTCTCATTGAGGGGGCGGCGAACTTCCTCGGAATCTCGACATCAGTTATATGTCATCCGAAAAGCGGGTCCGCATAGCACGTTTGTGAGGCAACATCTAACGGTGGCGGGACTCCAGGTATGCTGTTGATCTTTTTCCCGCATCTCTCTCAGTTCTTCCATGAGGATGACCACGGTGTCAACCATCCCTGCTTGTACTTATCTCGCCGCCGGCATCTGTGGAGTCATTACTCGGGCTTCTTCTGGTCTGGATGGCGAGGCTATGACGATGACCTCTGGCTCTTGTCGTCTCTGGTTTTTGATGTCGACATGTCTTGGAATATCGACGTGATTTGGAACATGTCGTCTCTGGGGCTCTGACTTCATTGTTCTGGTCCACAACGAATCCGAGAAGAAGCGCATCGGGATGCTAGTGGCTGGGGTTGAATCCGGAACTGAATCCATGTCCAATCTTGTTGCCATAGTCATGATATCCTTTCCCCGTCGTGAACTGGAGGCTATGGATGCCACCGATTGTAGTTGAGATCGTAGAGCTAGCGTCATTTTCTCGTTGGAGGAGGGTGATCCGCTGCCGCATTTCTTCCCTGACAGCTTCTAGTTGCGCTTGAACCTCCGCCGCCGAATGATTAGAACTTCAGGCCATGCGTATTTCTTCCCTGACAGCTTCTAGTTGTGCTTGAATCTCCGCCACCAAAGAATTAGAACTCCCGGCCATGACCGATTCTTCTTTTGCAAGATTTTCCCATAGACGGCGCCAAATTGTTTTAGCTAAAATAAGCTGATCTAGGGATAAAAATGAACTGGGAATCTAGTAAAACTGAATCGGTATTGGAATGATTAAGAATAAACGAAATGAATAATACTGAGTGGGATTAGTGCTTCTCGTACAAAGATGAAAGTGGGATTAATGCTATTGCTTATATTATTAGATCGTGAATGACTTTTACAAAGTATCATGCTTATGTATTTATTCTGCAATCTTGGCGCATTATCTCCAACCCTCCGCCGAA